AGCTGTTTGATTTATCAGACATGCAGTTGTATTTTGCTGTATAATAATTTTTTGGATGGTCAGATGTTGTGGGTTTAAAGAGCCCCTGTCAGGAGTCACTAAAAAAATGATTCTGGCACTCACCTGTAAACAAGATATTCTATACTCCTCTCTCCAGCAGCCTGTGTATCCTGCCTTCCATCCCTTCCAGCACTGTAGCCTGCACTTCTGGGAGTGCCCCATACCTGTATCCCCATCCTCCGACCCCTATGTCTTATGTCACCGCTGAGTCCTGTAGCGAAGTAGGGGTTGGAAGAAGGAACTGCGGTGGAAGTGTTGAATTCTGAAGACTCTGAAACAGGCTGCAGTGCTGGAACAGAGGGAAGGAAGGGAACACAACCCACTACATCTTTATTTTTGTGGGAAAGTGCCAATTTATTTTATTTAGGGAAATGACTGGGTCTCTTTAAAGTAAATCTATACTCAAATGTTAGCACAAGACACATAAGCAACAATTAGATGGATACATAGGAAATACCTACATTTTGCTAGAGAAAATGCTGCTCCAGTGTGTCTGATACTGGCCACATGTTCTAAGGTTTACGCACTTTAGTCACACGATCAAAGGAACTGTGTTTAGTTATTTTATCTAGGGCTGGAAAATCCATTGGAACGACCCGTGCTGCTCTTATTCTATGTAAAGGCAAACTTTTTTTTTGGTAGAGTGGGTAAGGGTTAAACCAGGGGTGGACATATCAATATGGAATTCAGTAGTTGGTCTGTCCAATCCAGGAGCCAGTTCCATTGACAACAACTGGAGAAATCCTCAAAAGTTATGTGCCAGCTGTAAATTTTAAGGAGCATTGGCTTCCTTGTACCTGTTTTTGTCCAGCCCTGGGTTAAACCCACCATCAATTTTTTTATTTGTCTGTGTCCCCACTGAGGTGATTTACATTTATATTTGTCCTGGTGACTACTGTCAGCAAGACAGAAAGCGAGGGGAGATCCAGAATTTTATTTGTCACCAGACCCGAAGATGAGAGTAAATTATCCAGTGAGGATACCCATTTCAGTGACCATTTAACCTCTTGAGTTCACAGTGCCCTTTTACAACAGCACTGGGAGAGCAGCTATTTGTCCCAGCGCCATTTGAAAATGGCAGTGGGAATTTTCAGGTCCTAGTGGGATTTAGGCTGGTACCGCTGGCTGTCTCTGACAACTGGGATGCAGCACTAAGCCCAGTTGCTGAAATGTTCAACTTCTGAGCTTCCAGTGCTTCTACAGATTGTTTTTGGCATATGGGGACACTTGTTCTGTTGACCCTGCTGACCACCAGAGATTTCCTCTTAATTCCTGTTGTGGCTATAGGACAGTTAGTAAAGGGGAATCTCCCCAGTTGGACACAGGGTAAAAAAAAAGCTGACAGGAATCCTTTACTTTATCTAAAATTAAAAAAAAATAAAAATTTGGATTAATTTCTACTTTAACCACGTCCCGGCCAGCCGTTGTGGAAAAACACATGTGAGGTTTTCCCAAATAAAGGACAAATAAATGAATGCGTTTATTGCATTTTTTTTAGCTGTGCTGTTTTTCTAATAAAAATAAGAAACATAGAGGGGTTTTCTCAAATTTGATTGCAAAAGTGAAAATACACTTTCAGCAATTATCTAGGCCTTTAGACTTGTGACCAGCTCTGAAGACCAAAGCAGCATTTTCTACTGGAGTGATGAAAATGTAATTTTTTCTTTTTATTGATCCCACTATGTGTGATAACACTTGCTAATATTTGAGTATAGGGCCACTTTAACTGTCATAGCTGTAAAGCTTTATCTGCATTTTGCCACCTTAAAGTGACTAATCAAACTTTTGCATAACGTGTACACACTACAGAGGTTTCTTTAACAAGTGTTTTTACCCCTTTACTAAAAAAATTTTTTTACTGCCATATTTATATTGTAGGTCTTAAATGTGCTTTCATTCATGCCTGTTTAGCTCTTTTCCTTTGTTTCCTGTGAACACAATCTCACCTAATAGATACTGGGAATCAATAAAACTAAAACCTATCTGCTGTTTCAAGGTGCAGGTCGACATAATAAGAATGACACTGCATGTTCAAATCAAAACAGGGAATATACAGCAGAAGCCCTTTGGTTAGGCGAGGCAGAATCTATGTGTGCCATTTGGTGATGTCGGAGGCATTCTTCATTGTGGCTGGATGTTCATGCCCCTGAAGTGTTTAGCCACTCCTCTCTCTTGGTGAGTGATCAGATTGGCACAGAGCATAATGATGTGGAAAAATGAAGAGCTACTCGCTCTGAAGATCCTGGATGCCTCAACAGAAGATTACATCCAGGAACAAAAGAGGATATGCAAAATTTCTTAGAGGGGAAATAGCAACCAGTAATGTAGTCCATTACTTGTCTTGTGGAGAAATGTGAATTCTGCTCAAGATAGGAATATACAATTTACATATAGCTTACTTATATTGGAAACAAGAAGGATGAAGATTAAGCATTTCCATAGATGTTTGAAATGATTTGTGAAGATTACTATGTATTTGAGAAGAAGTGGACTCCAGAAGAGCCAGAGATATGTAAAGTATCCTTCCTGTTGAGGTGATCTGCTTGACAGATGTGCCAAGACGCCAGAAATGTTCAACCGTTCCTTCATAGAAAATGTAGGACTTCATTTAAAAATAGAATCCAGCTAATTTGGTACTTTGGAAGGTGGTTTTGGTATAACAGACTGGGAGACTTATGAAGCTTGTCTGCATCAGAGACCCATCATGAAATTGTTATGTTATTAAGGTGAAAGAATGTTATTGGACTGCAATCCAGAGACCATCGGAGACTAAAAGATATTGTGATAGCTTTGGAGAGTCCAGCTACAATGAACTTGCAGAAAGACCTGGTTTTGCTGAGCACCCTGGGGCCATTTTCCGGTATCCTGCCTGAGCATTTTCAAAAGGTGGTTCAGAGAATGTTGTGTGGCCTTTTAAATAATCCAGTCCTCCAGCACAAGCAACTGCAGGAGGCCAACGAAAAGTGTGCACTGCCCCTGGATCAAATGGAAATGTTTGGAGAAATATCTAGTGCAGTTTTTAGGTTTGACCCTGAGAAGAGGATGAATGATCTACTATCTGGCAAGGACATTTCAAACTGACAGCAGAATTCCTAAAAAGACAAACTAGGTTTGTATGTTATTTATTTGTTCTTTAAATCCTATTTGCAGGTTTCATGACTGATGTTTGTATGTTGGAAACCTAGGCAGGTATGCAGCTAGAGAAGTGATGGAACGTACCCTTAGCTCCTCTGGACATCTGCACAGTGCATGGAATTTAGGAAAGCCACCAAGTTTTGCATCTACTCAGTTTGATTTCAAGGAGCAACAAAGTAATAAGGGAATATATTGTGTGGACTATGGATTAAATGGACAATTTTGGGGGTAATTTGTCCATATATAAAAACGTAGATGCAAACTCAATTTTATTTTCTAGAAACTTGATCAAGTGATGGTTTCTGTGAACCCTAGAACTGGACCCTGCAAAGCATCATCTGTTGGACCATATTCTTTGGGACAGGGGTTTGACAAAGCTTGAATGTTTTTTGTTCTGAATTTTGTTCATTAATGTAAATTATAATTAACTATGTACTAACTAAACTCTTGTATTTAAGATGGGTGTGTGACTTGTAAAGGGGCAGAGGTATTGTTTTTTTATCAAGAACAAGGATAATATATATTATTTCAAGTCAGGCTTGCGTATAACATGCAAGAGCTTTCTACATATTTCAGGTAACTAACTTTCAGGAACAGGCTGACTGTTCTTGGAGTTATTGTTGCTGGTGCTTTGTTGTTCACAGGTTTTTATTGAAATTGAGCCAAGTAAATGTTGCTTGACATTGATCAATGCTTCTGCTCCGCAGACTATAGTAGCCTTATGGTGTTCTGTGACCTAGTGCGCTCATATAAATTTACTAAACACCTAATCCTTTTTGTGTATGCCTCAGTAGCTATCTGACCCTGGGCTCAGTGTAATTGAAGCCTCAACTTTGGACCTACAGTGTGCATCTTGGATTGGGAATACGCAAAGTTTTGAGTTTTTATAGTTCAATTGGCTATGAAAGAAATATGGTGACTGCCATTGCTGCCCTCCTTCTAAAAAATACTAGGTGCATGGCTTTAAGCTGACTATTTGGCTTCTACAAATTCTGAGTTGCTGACATAGGGAAAAGACTGGGATAAGTAATGACAGAGAAAAGTTATTTCAGCACAATGATTCATTTATTTAAGCAAGAGGTTTCACAGGACAGTCAGAAAACTACCATTATCAGGAGTGGAAGCCTACAGGTTTCTTTTAAAGCATATCTAAACCTAAAAACAAAAATGTATTCTATTGTAGCTTACCTGTTCCTAAATTAAGTGAATGCATACATTTCCCTTTTTTACCTGGTAATCCTGTGATGATGCACTTTCTGTACCTGGGTGGCTTTGCTTACTTCTCTCCTGTATCGATGGAGGGCAGTAATGGTTGCCACCTAGGCTGGACTTCAAACACGTCTGCCTTGGTTCATCTCTGTACCATAGGAGATGATGGGGATTTGTACTTTATGCAAGAAAGTTAACATTGTTCTTGCTTTCAGATAACATTGTTTTTGCTTCAAGAACACTGCTTCTTTGGCAATGTTAATGGGTATTTTCTGCATTTGCTGAAAATGTTCTTAGCTTTAAAAATGTATTGATTTTTTGCGCAGTACTTTTAGTTTAAAAAACAAACAACCTACGCATGAAGTAATTGTTGTCAGTGTTATATTTCACTGAAGTTTAAATCTTTTATAAATAAACATTTATGTAATATAGGTAACGCCTGTGACCGAGGCTTCCTAAGTTTTGTTTCCTTTTAAAAACACTCTTGGAAAGTGGTAGTGAGTTGGCTGAGTCGATGGTGTATACATTGAGCTTGAGCTATTGTGCTCTGTAAAGGTTTTTTTATCACTTCAGAAAAATAATAGAGGAAAGCATGTGAAATGTAGCCCAGAGCTCCATCTGCTAGCTGCATATGAAAATACAAAATGTTTGTATGCAGTTTTTCATGTTTATGAATATGCTTAAAAGAGATCTATGGGGCAACCTTTTTATGCCATACTTCTCTTTAGGGTCACAGGAGGCCCGCCGCAGCCGGGCGCGCACGAAACCGTGTGTCCTGCAATATAGTACAAGCACGATTTTACAGTGGGTTCCAAGCGTTCCAGCTATAGTAATCCGCGCGCATGTTAAAGTTTGCATGGTTTCCTGTGCGCAAAACGCTACCGCTATGTGTGAATGGAGCCTTAGTCCAAAACATGATAAAATGACCCAGTTGGCTAGCTAACTGATGTGTTTTCAGGCCACAGGCAGACTGAACATTCAGTATAATTTAGGTA